AGCATTGGATCAATATCCTAATTTATATAAAGAATTTAGTAGTGAAAATGTTGATTATTATGGAATTACTGACGAGATTTCATGTCCATTATGCAAATTAGATCATGATGATGAGGAAGGTATAGAAGGTAGATATGAAGCCAGATCCTATTTTATTAAATATGAACAGCGTGAAATTAAGATAGTTGCATAGTCTCATTGCCCTTTCTTATACCATAGATACTTCGAAAGATGGCCTAACTATTTTCTTGGAAATATGATAAAAAATATTAGTAAGCTTTCTATCAGGGAATTTTAATCTTTTTTTTCGAATGAATATGAGAATAAAGGGATTTAAACTGATTCACAATCATATAAAATTTAGACATGACCAAGTCTGATAAAATATTAACTCCTGAATATCTGGATTGGCATGCCAAATTAACTGGATTACTAAGTGTTTTGACAGATAGAATTCGGCCCTGCTTATACAAAAAATATAAAAAAAACTGGGTATAAGCCATGGCAATTATCAGAAGTACATGAATCAGAAGTCATAAATTTGAAGCCAAAAAACAAAGTATCCTATTTATCTTTTTCTGGGCAATGTGAAGAAAAAGGGCCTATTACTTTCAAAGTCAAATCCGATCCAGAATTAATTATCAAATCCGTCTTAGAGCACTTCCTATACTTGAAATTCAGAAATAGTTTCAGAGGGATTGATAATTATGATTTTACATCACCTCAGCCGTGGAGCTCACCATGCCCTATTTGTGATGGAAAACATGGGAATTATGGATTACATGGCTCATGGTACTGCGAAAATGGGAATCAATTCCCTTATGATCCTGAATTAGCGAAATTGTATTTCCAGGATAAGTTGGAATATTGTCTTACCTGCAACACTTCAAGCAATAAACTCAAGTTCGCGATCATAGAATAGAATGGTCCTGCAGCGCCAAAGGTACAAAGGATGTGTAGCGATCATATCCTGTACCTTATGATGAGACGAGCCCGGACAAGCTTGTCCAGACACTACCATCAGAAAAAATAAACTAGTTATGCGCACAGCGCTTTTGGAGATAAATTTAACCTGACGTTGATCCTGCTTATATGCGTAAAAAATATAGATAAATTTAACCGGATGCTGATCCGCAATTTTGACGAGTCCGGACACGGTGTCCAGACTCTGTGCCATCAGTAAAAATACTATTGCATGCACCGATGCACGTATTGCATTATATAATTATTGGGCCATAATCTAGCAAATTGATCATTGCGACTGTACATTGCCAAAGAAAGGCTCGAATTTTTTCATTGATACATTATCCGGTCTCATTTCCCAATCATCTATAAAAAATGGTCGTCAGTTATCAGTTATACTTTGTACGAGACATATAAATTTATAATACTTATACTACGTAAATCAGTCGCAAATAGCCCCGAATTTTGGGCCTTATTTTTTGTGTAATATGTCACAAAAATTTGATCAAGTATTCGAACTGATCACGCGAAATTTATTTCTCGTTTATAAATTATTCGCACTAACACTGTAGGATCTTTCGAATATAACGTAAAAAAAATAAGGTTCGTAGCTCTTCGAACTCTGGTAAAGTTTACAGTCACGCGTATCCCTACTGTCGTTAGGCAACACAATCCTGCGTTCAGATGTTTGGAGGCAGTCTCCTGGACAATCCTTATGCATATGTGCTTAGGGCACGTTCCAGCATGCTGTTTTCCAGGATGCGTTTATTATACCTACTGTCGTTAGGCAACACAATCCTGCGTTCAGATGTTTGGAGACAGTCTCCTGGACAATCCTTAAGCATACGTGTTTAAGGCACGCTTCAGCATGCTGTTTTCCAGTATACAGTTGACTGTAGACATTACCACGTTGCTTTTATTAAAATGGATAAACGGCTTTTGAATGCATTAATTTCTTTTTAGATGTTTGAATCTGTTGTTACGGAATATCTTGATGAAACAAAAGGCAAAGACTGGTCAATTCTCGGAATTTTAGAATTTGCGCGATCAAACTTGAGCCCTAAATTATCCGTGGCCACAATCAATGATTTTAAGGACGATCTATACACAATATTACGAAGTTATGAAAAAAATGTAACATTCACGTACATACCAGAAACAAAGCAACGAAGATTTTATCTAATTATAACTCATCATTCTCCACTGCCGAAGTGAAGCAATTCATCAAAGATCTTGAATATCACGAAGAAGCGCGACTTAATGTCACGTCCACGTATACAGTCAAAGTTTTAAAGGTAAGATTTACAAAGATCAAAATTAATATTTACGATAGATATCGACTTATCAAAAATCTTTAGGATCAGCAAGAGAACCAGAAGCTTATTGATCAATTACGAGAAACAGGCAATAAACCTGATGATGATATTTTCCAACCCACTGTGTCTACTGGACAAAAGCGAAAATCATTACCAGAGGTTAGAATAAAAATATATATAACAATAAACTTTTGTTATAAGATTGTCGCCTTGAATTTTATAGTGAGCATTTTAATGACTATCATTATATCCGCTCCACCTCATCAAATACAGCAGTCAAATCAAGATTTGGAAAAGGAAGTTGATATCAATTTTTCCGAAACAAGTACTGCCAACTCACAAACTTTGGATATCGACAATGAATCTATGATAGAATTAGAGAGAAGAGCAAATGAAACGGTAGGTTTCTGATTCCATTGAGTATAATCCTTCGATTCTCTAAGTAATTATTGATGACTTTGCTTACAGATCAAAAGGCTTCTACCATCTAATGAACTGGAAGAGGTATGGAAATTAGTCATGGATCGTATGAGCGAAAAAAATATAAAAGTTCAGTAAGTATTTTTCCATGTATGATCGTGCAATTATTAATCTAGTAACAACATACTATCAACGCTTTTTGTAAATGACAGAGCAATAGAATCAAGAATAATCGACTTGACGAACTGGTCAAGTGTTGAGTGGTCGCGAATTCTGAAGACTGAAGATAAAGCGAAATTATTCAGAACGTGTCAGCAAAAATTATTAAAAGATCAAATCGATGAAAATGTTATTCATTTAATTGACAATACCAGTCTGGTAATAATCCTTATATTTGTTATATTTATTATTGTACCATTTACTTGGCATATTATCATGGTATGAAAAAATGTTAATTCATAATGTTTATATTATAGAGAAATTTAAATGATTTGAAACAGTTAAAAGATAAACTATCAAATATTGGATCTGAAGATGGCAATTTATCGGCCGAAATTATTTCTTTTTTTGTAAGTTAACTAATACGCTTAATATATATAACAAAATAAATACCTTAACTTCTGTTATTTTTTCTACAGTCATAAGTGTTACAGACGTGAAGTAAACATATTGTTTCTCCCAACACGAGAAAGAGACTATATATTAAGAATTATGTCTCCTATCTTAACTGATCTTTTGGAAGAACATGACAGCGGTCGTTTCCAAACATATTGGTACAATACCTCTGATATCTGATTTTTTCTTTCTTCAATTAAATGTTAAATTTTTATAAATACTTAGGATCGAAAAAGAATCTAAAGCAGTGCAAACTAGAAAAAGACGTAAAATCCATGCAGAATATGTTAAATTTGGGAACGAGTCTACTAAATTAGACGTTGTCATAGAGTTACGCAATTACGGTATTGAATTGGTAACTGCAGAAGTTGGCATCACTCAAAAAGACCATGATGATTTGAAGTTTCGTGAGGATCATACAGCATTAAAAATAGAATTGAAGGACATGATAGATAACTTCTATGATGTGCTTCATTTTAAAAAGAAAGATTTAGCCGAAATCTTTGTCATGGGAATTCAAGCAACTGGTATGAAGAATTTTTTATTAGTTCATCTGAATGGATGTGTGTTCACCCTTGTCTCAATGAAATTAATAGGTCAAAAGTGGACAATATATTGTCTATCATATAATTATGATGTCAATTTTTATTTTTTATCAGAAGTTGCTACGTTAATTGTTCCAAAGACCATGTCGGCAGTGGAAAGTTTATTGGGACCATTCATTAAAAATCTCCTTGGGTTTAGAGTGAGTTTTTTTATACTATTGACGTGTCCTTAACTTTTAATTTTTGCCAAGTACCAACAAATGTCTTGTATTAATATAGCACACATTATTGATGCTTAACACAAAAATTACAAGAATGGCAATAGCTCGCCAATCTACACCCTCTCCACCTTCGTCACCTCCACATCAAACCTCTGAAACCCCAAAGATTGACCGAGTGAAAAATGATATTTTTACAATCTTTGATGATATCTATCAAGATTAATAATCTGCGTTACTCATATTATAGTAGTACTAATGCATATGTTACAATTTGAGCAAATTTAATATACGTTGTGCTTTTAACTTATGTATGATATGATTGTATTGCGGAGTGTTGCATTGGGAAGTGTTCATTTAAAATATAATTTCTTGAAGTGATCAGCATTCCGAAATAGAACATGCATGTGATTTTTTCATTGAGTTTTCAGCCTACTGTAAGATAAAATAATAAGTTGTTATATATTATTTACTGCTTTCTGGACATGAACGAAATGAGTGGACAGGTGATCTAACTAAGGATGAAAAGGATTATGTAATGGCCGAAATCTTAAAACGAAAGGGTTGTTAATATACTGCGCCATTTCTTCTGCGCAACTAAGTCGAGCCTGGACACCGTGTCCAGACTCTACCATCAGAAAAAAAAGAATTTCGTTCACGTGTATTCTCAAACATATAATAAAGCATTTGCATATCCCGCCCATATCGGGCTTTATTTTTTAAATGTGTATAACTGATTGCCAAAACATCATGGAAAATAATCTGCCGAGCCCGGACACCGTGTCCAGACTCTACCATCGGATATTCGGAGATAAATTTAACCTGACGCACATCAGGTTTCGG